ATTCTAGGTACTCTGTGTGTACTATTTGCATTTCCATTTATATTCTCTCATTGTGTTGGATGTGAAACTTCTCACCAATGGGCACAATTAATCTATTATGCAGCCTTCGTCATCATCTTTCAGTTTGGTTGGGCTGCAGTGCAAATATCACATTTATCATTAGTTCCAGAACTTACGCCTACCGAGCATGAAAGAACAGAACTCATAGCAATTAGGTATTTATATTTAAAATTTCTAAAAGCATAAACTGTTTTAATAACATATATTATACAAATTCTGTTGTGTAATTATAAAATTTTGTTACAATTTTATTTAGATACAGTTTTACTGTACTCTCAAATGTCTTTGTTTACTGCATAACATGGGCAGTGTTGCACATGACAAATACTGAAGAATCCAGCTCTCAAATTGGTCCTAACGATGCAAAAAAATTTCAGGAAGTTGTTTTTATTGGAATAGGCATAGGAAGTGTAACAACTATTTTATTTCATGTCGTTGTTAAAGAAAATCTTATTAACAACTCTAATGGTGAGACAATTTTATACTTATCTGGTCATTAATTAAAATTTTTGTTTATTTCAACTTTTGCTTTTTTATATCTATTATAGGTCTCTTAGGCAGAAATTCAAGAACAGTATCAACATTGTTGAAAGATGTTCAATTATACAAAGCAGCTTGTGTATATATGTTTACTCGTTTATTTGTAAATTTATCACAAATTTATATTCCTTTATACTTGCACGTATCATTAAATATGCCAGCAATATCTTTGGCTATAATTCCCTTAATAATCTATTTGAGTAGTTTTATGATGTCCTTTGTTGTAGAAAGATTAAATGCAAAATTAGGTAGAAAAAACTCATATTGTTTTGGTGTTTCATTGGGTATATGTGCTTGTATTTGGATACAATTTGGTGCTGGCTTATCATTTACGAAATACCAGATCTATCCAGTATCATTAATATTAGGTAACATTATTAAATTCCTTTTAATTCACCAAGCTCAAATATAAACTTCTTTCAATATTAATTCCTTTTGTTATAGGATTTGCTGAATCCATTATGTTAGTGACTAGTCTTGGTATTACAGCAGATTTCATAGGTCAAAATGTGGATAGTGGCGCATTTGTGTACGGTATCATGAGTTTCACAGATAAACTTTCTAACGGTTTAGCAGTTATACTTATTCAATATCTGTTAGTACACAT